CTCCTAGCAACATTGCACAGTGAGAAAGTGCTTTTAGAGGAAGTAGAATAGTGCAGCGCTTCAAAAGGTCATCTATTTAATTTTCCCACTTAAAAGTGGGCACAGCTATGACTCATTCATTCTTAATAGATGCAAACAGAACAATACAATACGAAACGAATGTGGTTGATTCAGGTGCTGTAACGTATCCAGGTAATAGATTTCAATATGTGATAATCTCAAGCATAAGAAACATTTTTCTAATGTTTATTTCCTTTAAAGCATTTTAAGCTCCTACTTCTACTGGGCTCCTACTTCTATTTTCCAGAGATAAGGAGATACAACCTTTCTCTTTTGCAGCAGCCTTGCAATATTTAAGGGCTTATCATGTCCTCTTTCAATTTCTATTCACCAGACTAAATAAATTCACTTCTTTCTAATTTTCTTCAGTGATCATATTTTCTAGACCTTAGATCTTTTTCATAGCTCTTCTACAGCCTGTTTCCAGTTTGTTCATGGCTTTTTGCATGAGGCCCAGAACTGGAAATGGCTCTGAAGCTGATGCTTTTTGATCCTGAATACAGTGGAGTGCTTAACAGGCTTTACTGCTGCAATAGGAAAAAAAAAAGAAAGAAAGGGGGGTTTCAAATGACCAGGATAGGTGATGCTGACCCATGGTGGCTGTTCTTCAGTAATAAGTTGTCTAATTTATTTTAGTCCTTTTCTACAGTTTAAGATCAACTTAATTTTTTTCCCGATCTCTGTTGTCAAAGATTTCCTCCTTGCAGCCATCCATTTTTGACTCATTTATTTGCTGATTTAGGAAAAGAGGTATGTAGGTTGTGGGATGGGTTTAATCCTTATTAGTGCGATTTCTTAAATTTTTCAACTGCTTCAGGAATCTCTGAGCTGCTTGGATTTCTGACAAAGGATTACTGTCAATAAGAAATGTGAAATCAGGACATCACAAGCCTTCTTGTTCGCTGTGCTGTCAAACCAGGCTGCTTCCTAGAGAAGGGAGGCAGGAGAGAGAGCATACATCTAGGCCTCAATAGGGAGAAAGGAAAAGGTTAGTTTAGACTTTCTCCCTGTGCTCTTATAAATCTCTCAGTGCTAATTACTGACTGCTGGAGTGCTTTGGTTTGTATTTCAGCCATTTTATTAATAAAGTTGGTAGATTTTGTTCCTTCTGTCTAACCGTGGATGCTTTTCAGCATAAGCAAACAAAAGAGAGCATGGAATTCTTGCCAGAACACATCAGTCATTTTTTGGTGGTTTTTTTTTAAAACCAAACAAAACACACACCTCATGTTGGAGGCTTTCCATGTCCTTTCAAGAACGTAATGTGCAGTTATATACAACTCTAGGTTCTAATGCAGTTGGATTTTCTTTCATCTTGCAGTTTCCTCTTCTGATTCTCCCTAATTAAAAAAGAAACAAAAAATGAAACAGCTGAACTCCTACTAGGGAAGCAGTTGGGAGATAAACACACAATGGAGCTTAGTGGGTGCCCAGCTGTCTTTTCTCACTATCTGATTCCTAGATGTGTGGTGCCATCCTGGCTCTTTCAGGGACTTGGCCATGTCTTCCTTCCTCTGTATTATAGCAAAAGACAATTAGCTGTTCTATTTATTTTGCTTTCACTTTGGTTGAGCTTATTCCTTTCTACACACTTATGTATTTAATTGCCTTGAAAACAGCAGCTAGTGATTGGTAAAGGATTGTACCTGAAATTAAGTATCAGCAATTATTCAATGGCTATTTTTGTCTATTGGGGCATCCTTTGCTGGGGTATGCCATTCAGACTAGAGATTTTGAGAGACTTGTGTTTGCCTCCCAAATCACGAAGGTTGTAGCTTTGTGCCATGAACACTCAAATTCCTCACCCTTTCGTGGCTGCTGTGATACAAAATGGCATTGTGTCAGTTTGGGAATTTAAGGTGGAATAAAAGCGAAGTACTTAATATTTGAATGTGGAAAATAGAAGCTGTTGCTTCACATGCTGTCTTCCCATGGAGCACAAACCTCTTTCGATTCTGACGCTGTGAATGTGACCTGCCTTTTGGATAGCCATGGTGGATGACTTGAGGTTGGATATAAGGAACAATTCCTTCTCCTAAGGAGCGGTGATGCAGTGGCACAGCTGCCAGGGATGTGTTGGGGTCACCGTCCCTGGAGGTGTTCATGGAACGTGGAGATGTGGCACTGAGGGATGTGGTCAGTGGGCATGGTGGGCTGGGGTTGGATTTGGTTATCTTAAGGGCCTTTTCCAACCTCTGTGGTTCCATGACTTAGGAGAAAAGCTGCATCCCATGTGTAAGATGCTCAGTAAATACAAAATTTAGAATTGTTCAGAGGCATTTCGTTTTTCTGTTTGACAAACTCCCACACATTCCTTGGAATGTATTTTAGGTGCTGAGAGCATTCCCATGGACTGTTTGAGGCATATTCTGATATTTCTTGAAGGGTCCTAGAGTATACCAGACACACTTCAGAGCCGAGATAGAGCAGCCATGCTCCAGGAGAGCTTTGGCAGACAGCATTTCCCTGTCACTGACGGACATCGCTGCTGGCCTGCTCTGATTTATTGGGGTTGCAAAGTGCTTTTCATAGATCATGTGCTTATGGCATTCATGATCTCTTAATATTTCCAGAATGGGATTACCTTCAGAATTTATGGCAGCTAGATAACCTTTAATTGCTCTTTTTTTTTTCCCCACACGGCAATAATATTTTTCCCAAACCTGTTCCCCAGTGGCCTTAAATGAAGCAGAAATATGAATTAAAAGCTAGTTTCCCTGGCTCTGAGTAAAATAGTGTTACATACTACCAGATAACAGTAGGTGGCCTAAGGCTATTGCAGCGCTTGCTAGAAAACTTCCTTTTCACTTGCAGCAAATGCAGTAAGATGGGCAGTGGGTGCTTCACCCTCCTGTTAAGGTACCACAAAACCAGAGACATTTGATGACGTGAGAAAGTCAGCTTGACACTGGTGGTGCCCTACAAGCACTGCCATGGCTCTGCACTGCTTGGGGAACACGGGGACCATTCCAGAGCACCATTCTGCTGTAAGCTCTAAAGGGAAAGCTCTGACATCTGTCCTGCGGCCATCTGGGTTCTAAGCCTTGAGAGCCTGCATGAGAGTCCTGCAAGAAGTCTTCCTGTTGATGTTGCCAGAAGGCAGAGAGAACTCCTGGGAGACTCAATAGTGTTACACAATACTTACATTTCGGTGCATCAGAGCTTGAAGAATCAGCAGTGCAAACAACAAACTAATTTGTCATGTTATTGAAGTTCTTAGAGTGTTGTCAGGGTATTATTGGATCCTGTTCGTTCTTGTTGTTGTTGTTTTGCTTTGTTTTGAGTAGGGCTGTGGAGTGTTGTTGTTTTTCTTCTTTTTCCTTGAGGCATTCAGAAGCTGTGAAGTATCTAATGCATCTTCCCTAGTGTTTTCCAGATAAAATTATACCAATCCTTTCATTTCCTCAGCTCTCATTTGGGCTCTGGAGAAACACTCCTTGTTTTTAGATCAGCCAGGTAATCTGTGCATCCTGCATTTATGGCTATAGGTTATCTAACTAAAGACTGCATGACTGCGAAGCAGTGCACAGGGGTGAGTTGCAGTCTTCTGTTCTTTAGTTAAACACTCCCACATTCCCAGAGATTTCTGCAACCTCTCATTGGCTCAGGTTGGGCTGTATTTTGCAGTTTATCTTCATTCCAACATTTCCTCACTGTGCCGCTATCTGATGTTGTTTCTGCGTGCATGACAGCAGTGTAGTGTAAATGAGTTTATCTTAAATCAGATGGTTCAGGTGCAAGAAGTTAAGGGATTGCAGTAGCATGGATTTGTATGCTGAGTGCACAGACAGCCCGAAGGAGCAGCGGTAAACCCTGCTTTCATCCCACCTGCTAGTGAGATCTAGGTTAGTCAAGTTCCATCTTCGTCAGATATCTGTACTTTGCACTTGATGTGTAATGAACTTTCTGACTCCCAAGGCACAGTACATTCCCATCTTCATTTTGCAGTCTGATCCTGATCCAGAACATCCCCACTGCTGTTCTTGTATGACTGACTGAACAGATTTTTAACAGTTATTAACACCAATTATTATAGCATTAGCACTGATCTCAATACACTCAGAAGTGGTCAGGAATGGAAGACAGTATTCTTGTAGCTTCGTTGGCAAAGTGCTAATTGTTTTGTTTCTAGAAGGGACAAATTTTTAGTAGCTGCTGTTTTTTTTTGTTGAGGATGTAATTAGGCTAATTGTATTTCCATAATGACATGGTTAAGAAGAACTAGTTCTCTCTTTCTAAGTGATTTTGGATAGATCACAACTGTTTGGTTTGGCAAGGATGTCTCTTGAATCGTTTACATGATAATGAATGCAGAAGAAAACACCTACATCTGTACTGAATTTCTGTCCTCTATAAACCAAGTACTACTTCATGGTCTCCTGCTTCGCTTCCTTTATTCCTTTGTGATGAGAGCTGCTGTGTACCTGCATATGAATGAGGCAGAAGCAGCCATTGGAGCAGCTAGCTCCTGCCTTGAAACTATGCAGGTCTTCCCTGAGCATGCACACCTGCAGTGCTAGCAGTGTGTGTAATGAACAGTGTAAAGGAGCTCTGAGGCCCTTCCTCACCCGCTTTCACACGCTGGCATAGACAGCGCATAAGTTGGCTCATGCCTACAGGGCTTGAAGCAAAACCACATAAACTCTGGTTGCAATTTACAACTTATTGTAGCTAAATTAGCAGCAAACAATAGCGTGGACGTTCAGCATGTTCTTCTAAATTGTTGAAGTGAAGTGAATGTCAGGCTCGGGACTAGAGGTTTTTTGGTGTCTTCATTAACAGATTCACAGGCACCTTTGGTTAACAGTAAAATGTGGTGTTGTGATACTGCTGGTGAGACTGTAGAGTAAGCTCTTAGGTCTGAATTCTCTCCAGCTCCCTGCAGAAATTGGACTTTCCTAAATAAGAAGCTAATTTCTCTCTTTTTTTTATTTCCTCAGGTTCTCAAAGCCGGCACCAATGTTCTTAGATGATTCCTTCAGAAGATGGGCTCGTATCAGGGACTTTGTACCCCCCTTTGGAATTAAAGGACAAGGTAGGAGAGATCTACACAGCTGCTGAATCAAGAACGTGGTTCTGCAGATGCTTTGCTTTCTTCTTGAAACGTTTGGTCGCATCTTTATTTTATAGTTGTTGCCACTTGTGTGCTTGTGTAACAAATAGGAGAAATCTGTTTGGATACCTTGGTGGTGATGTGCGATACGTCCCGTCCTGCAGCTGAAATATGGCAGCAGGGGCTGCATCTCAGGTGTGCTGTGGGAGAGCCAGCAGACTGCAGCAGAGGCCTCGAGAAATAACCCTGGCAGCGCTGACTGCAGGAGGGCTCGCCCCCTTCTAATGGGCACACGAGGTGCACAAGGCTGGGGCACACTGCCTGACCAACGTGGAGGTGGGATTTGCAGATTACACACGATGTCAGCCAGACTTAATAAAAATCATTCCGTTAAACTGGATCCAAATGGAGAAATTCACCAAAAGGGGATGACGGAATGGCTCTGGCAGCCCTCATCCTGGATTTGTTGCCAGCTTGTATCACCACCGCAATGTTATGTAAATCTGGTGTTTTATATTGGATTTCCTCAGTTAAAGAGAGAAACAAGAAATTGCCATTATTTAAATGGCTGAGAGCTGAAGCCATGGGACGGAAACAGTTGAATGGGTTATTTTTTTTAATGCCCTCCTGGGATTGAATTTTGTGCCAAGTTTCAGTCTGGAGCAAGTTGTGTGTGTGGGAGGGTTGAATTATAAACTTCTGCAACCCGGGATTTCTAATGGCTGTGCTGACAGGCTGCGAGTCCTAGCGATGCGAAAGGCGCCCTTTCATGTTACACATCACTTGGAATTCTTGCATCAGTCTTTTCTGGCCGGTCCCAGGGGACGCCTCCCGGCTCAGCTGAGTGATGGGATAATGGGATCAGCACCTCATTAGGGCTTTCAGTCGGAGCGATCTGCTGATATCCAAACAACCTCGGCAGGCAGCGCGGAGATAAGTCACGTGCTGGTGTGAGATGAAGACAGTCCGAGCGGGATGTGCATGGGAAAACGCGTGGTCAGGGGGGCTGAGAAAGCGTAGATGGACATGGCTGTGTTGAAACAGATGGGGCAGGGTTTTGCTGGGTGCATGTGTGACGCCAGCAGCTGGGATTGCCGATGTGAATCAACTGGGGAAGGTGCTGGTGTTTACAGAGCCCCATCGTAGCTGGTGTGGTAACGGGAAGATGTTGCTGAGAACTTTGGTGAATATTCTGTTCCCCAGTGTTTTCAAGTGACTGTGGTCGAGTCCAAGTGCAAAAGCTTTCTGTGTGAAATACACTTAGAGGATGAGCTCACTTTCAGTAATGCTGCATATTCCAAGAAACTTAGAGAAACTTCTCTGTAGAGGCTTGGAAGTACCAGAGTTATGAAACTGAGAGACTCTGAGCAGCTTCAGAGATAACATGTTCTGTTCTCTTTTATTAAAGTTTCTTTCTGTTCTTTGGGCTTTTACATAAAAGGTCCTCAAACTCATAGCAGCATTTTTCTTTGCTTTGTCTCTGGAAAATAAAAAGTCCTTTTCTATCCATTACTTGGTATTAACTGGTCCAAGAAAGGACTATTCTAACTTGCGGACTTTATGGGAAAGCAGCTTTTGATGAGCATTGTTTACTGAGCTGCACTAATTTGGAGTCACATATCTGGATAAATCACATGCAAAAGAGTAGAAAAAGGTCAGGAATTTTAAGGGTGGGACTACTGCTCTGTAAAGGCGGTCATGTCAAGAAGGCAGCATGCAGATCATTTTGACAGTTCTTTAGGGATCTTCATTTTCTTCAGAAAGAATCCGATTGCAAAGATGATTTTTCCATCTCAAGCTGATAAAAAGCATGCGGTAGAACTTAGAAAGCTTAACATTTGACATTCGTCAGGGAAGAATTCACCTTTAGTCCTTTGGCCATTATCTGATTTGGCTATTAGTGTGTGCAAAGGGTTTTTATGATCTAGATTTCACTCTCTCCAAGAAAAGCATTTGTCTTAAATAGACATAGAGTTCTTGTTGACTCCAATCCCTCTGTTCACCCAAGATTAAGGCCTGCTTACCTGATCGCAGTCCCCAGCTACTTGGGACAGAAGCAGAGCTGAGAACTTGTCCCAGTATGGGAGCCAATACAGCAGATTTAAGGCATCATTTCATTCATCACAGATGTCTGTAGCCCATTTTGGGAACTCTTGCTCTCTCTGTGTGCAAATGTGTCATATTTTTTGAAAAAGTGTGATGTATTTGCTTGTAGTTTTTAACCCCAAACGATCTCTACAGGTATCTGTTTGACCTTTAGTGAAACGATGCCTCTGGATTTCACACAGTTGTGACTTCTGCAGCTGGCTATGAATGTGTGAAGCTGATCTTCGGAATCTAAATCAGAGTTTTCTAAATGACAAAGAATGATTGCTTTGTTAAACAGCCCACTGTCACATTCGACTGCACTTACTTTATTACTCAGCCTACCAGTGCCATGTTGGGCTTTGTACTCTCCTGCTGTGTGACTTGGCAGAACCAACAATAGGATGTGCCTCTGTGACTGCTTGGTTGCATTTCTATTAATAAAAAAGCCCCAGAAGCAGATGATCTCTTTGTACAGCCAGGTTAAGTCCTTGCCCTTTCTCCAAAAAAGAGAGCGAATGTATTTTGTCTTCCTACCCAGGAAGGTCACCCACCTGTGTGAGCTTCTGAACCTTTGAATGGATTAGGAATTAGAGGAGGGTGTTTTCTGTCCTGGTGGTGAACGCAAGGACTCTGCTAACCAGAGTTTGATAGGAGATGCTTGTGGGACGCTGTGCTGCTGCTTGTTTGTTGGTTAGCACGTATTCAACTCAAATAAAGGCTATCCTTCAGAGACGCCATGAAATTACTCAGCTTTAAGAGTTGTTGAAAAGATCAAACTGTAACAAGAAGTTGGAACTCCAAAAGCTGGATGGTAAGATGTCCCCTGGAGGACAGCTCAAACCCCAAGCACCCTCCTGTGTCCCAGGCTATTGTTTCAGAACTGGCTGCAATGTTGGAGTGCCTCCCGCATTCCACCATGTGCAAGGCTCTCATTTGCTTTTTTGGAATGATTCTTTCCCAGCACTCCCCAGGCCTGTTCTTCCAGCTTTTTTTTTTTTTTCCTCTGAAGAACAAGGAGACTGCAACAATCTCAAGCTGTTAAATGAGTTCCATGGAAGGTTTTGACGGAGGTATGAATACGCACAGGCTGTCCATATGGTTGCAGAGTTCCTCTGGCAAGTGCACGGTTTTCAGGGTTAAGTTTGTCAATGAATAAGCAATGGAAAATTGTTTATAGTGTTAGTGAGCTTATTTATCCCAGAGGGCCTCCTCCCCAAATTTACCTCTGTAGCTAAAGCAAAAGGAAAGAGTTATTTGGAGAAGGGCAACAAACAAGGCTGGAGAAATACCTGACTATTAATAGAATTTCTCAGTACATGTGGCTGAAGGAATATAAAGGGCTTTCATAAGAAAGAGTAGCTAGTATCTGGCATCATCTCTGTGTAATGAGGATGGGAGTTGCTGCAGGGCTTTTTAAACTTAAGTGAAAACATATGGCATAGCATACACTAAAAAACTAAGCAAACATGAGATGTGTAATATCTCCTTCGTGCCTTCAGTCAGTAATGGTGTCGTTGCATAGCAGTAATTATAGGTCTTCTACCTTTGTTCCTGCTAGATTGTTTTAAGCAGAGAGGCAGCTTTGCTGGCCCTGCATTGGTTTGGTTTTGAAGGTGATGTTTATTTCTTAGGGAGCGGCTGTCGTGTTACCAGCTCAGAATTTGCTTTCACCAGCAATCCAGGAAGCTGTTTCTTCCCCACTGGAGTATGAGAATATTAAGAACGTATTTGAAGTGCTACGGATTTACTGACTGTAATATGCAGCACAGGCCAGTAGACTTCATATTTTCATCTGATACAAGAGGGACATTTACTAGAGCACCAAAACTAGTAGATATATTGTGCAAGGATTAATTGTTCTCATGCTTGGTTTTATTTGAATGTTTTCCTTTGTGTGAATGCTGCTGGGAAGAACCATGGTTCAGTGCTGCTTACCAGTGCTTTCATTAGTCTCTCGAGGAAGAGGTCATTCATCTTCAGTGAAAATGTTGTTTTTGAGTGTGCAAAGATGGCATATCGAAATTTTATCAGGGAAAGAAGTATTATTATTTTCTTTTGGTTTTTTTTTTTGTTGTTCTTTCTTTTTTCCCCCCTATGGAGAGGGAGGGATGTCATGTGATTAACTCTTCATATCATGAGGCTTCCACTTCAACCTTCTTGGCGTGAGCTGTGTTTTATCTTTGAGCAAACATATTCGCTTGGTCATCATGACTGAAATTTACAACTGGCCCAAACTAAAGCTATCTGGAAAATCGGTCTTTCCCAACCTGCCCTTCCGGCTCTTTGCAGAAGCTGAAGTACTGCATGCAGATGCCTTTCCTACTTTTTGGCTGGATCCACCTGATAGTGAGATGTCTGTCTTCTGCTCTAATTCTCCAACTTTCTCTTGATTTTCTTACCTACACTCTGTTGAATGTATGGTTTTCCTGCAGTGAGCATTTTCTTATTTTCCATGTGTTCTTAACTACTGAGCAAGAAGCACAGGCATGCATGGCTGTTAATTCTGTTCTGAGTAGTATTAACACAACATTTTCTTCTTGAGTTTGATTGAAGCAGAATTCTGAACTGTTTCCCACTAGAATTTTACACTTGGCCAATATTGGTAATTGTTGCCATTATCACATGAGAATGTATCTGTAAAAATGTTGCTGCTTCCCCAGGGAATCTAGCTGATTATATAGCCTCAAGAAATTAAACGGGATGTTGTGGGGACGGGAGGAATGTTCAAGTTTCAGAAGAGGTAGAGGGCCATCTTTTTGTTACTGAATAAAGCCTGCAAAGGGAAGAAATCCTGAGGGTTTTGAGGTTAAATCAACCTTCACTCTTGAGGTCTCTTGAGGAAAGTATAACCCTCTGGTGAACTCCCTTATTTCAATTAAAAAATGGGTACTTTG